GGGTTTAGGGTTTAGGACAATTTTTGAAATGACAAATTGTAAAAGGAAAAAAAGATATGCTCTAATTTATGTCTTTTTGAATTTTGGTTAAATCTTGTCAAACCGGTCAAACAACTGATTCAAGAAATATAGAGTGTTACTAAATTATTACGCAATAATATTAGTGTTACTAAATAAGTATCTCAGTTTTTTTAAATTTTGTTCAAATCTGGTCAAACTATGGTCAAACTATGGTCAAACTACTTATTCAAGAAATATTAGTGTTACTACATAATTATTCAAGTATATTAGTGTTACTAAATAATTATTTCAATTTTTTGAATTTTGGTCAAATCTGGTCAAACTATGGTCAAACTGTGGTCAAACTTATTCAAGAAATATTAGCGTTACTAAATAATTACTATTTTTTTAGAATAATAGTTTCAAACTCAAACGGTGAAATGTGTGACTTCATGCTCAAGCTAAACTCCTGAGGGTTAATAGGATTGACATCTTACTATTGTCAGGAAAACAACAAGTGCAGACTCGGAAACGAAGGAGAATAGAACCTGAAAGTTAAGCGTGCTCGGGCTGGGAGTAGTGAGAGGGATGGGTGACCGGTCGGGAAGTTAGATGATTTGGAATGAGTGATCCACACTTGAGCAGTTAAGAGAGGTGATTAGAGACTAAATCATCAAATAATTCAGAAAAATTAAAAATAAAAAAATCAAATTTTTTTTCCAAAATTTTCAAAAAAAAATTCAAAAAAACCTTTAGTACCGGTTGGTAACACCAACCAGTACTAAAGGTCCCCCGTACCAGGGCGCGACCTCACGCCACGTGGTGGCACTTTAGCGCCGGTTCGTGCCGAACTGGTACTAAAGGGGGGGGGGCTTTAGTGCCAAAACGTTAGTGCCGATTCCATAACCGGCACTAAAGGCCCTTACAAACCGGTACTAATGGTCCGTTTTCTACTAGTGTATGGCATCCGGGAGTTACACGATCTCATGGTCTAAGGAAATGATACTTGACATTGGAAAAGCTCTAGCAAACGAACTACACGATCTTGTGCTATGCTTAGGATTGGGTCTTGTCCATCACATCATTCTCCTAATGATGTGATCCCATTATCAATGACATCCAATGTTCATAGTCAGGAAACCATGACTATCTGTTGATCAACGAGCTAGTTAACTAGAGGCTCACTAGGGACATGTTATGGTCTATGCATTCACACATGTATTATGATTTCCGGATAACACAATTATAGCATGAATAATAGACAATTATCATGAACAAGGAAATATAATAATAATCATTTTATTATTGCCTCCAGGGCATATTTCCAACATGAACATGGTCTAGTTTTGGATATTCTTGAAATGACTCCAACTTTGCAAGCAGATGGGGATGCCCATGGTTGTCATCCATGCCACGTTTGAACGATTCCCAACACCGTATGCAAGTTGTGACATGTCCGATCATTTGTCGACCTTTCTTATCCAAGAAAACTCTGAAAAATGCAAAATTTGTCGACATCAAAATTACTTGGCATGGTGCCTTGAATTGGTCATACAAGGCCATGAAAAAATTGGGGTCATTTTAAGGATGTCGGGAAACAACGTGCTCTCAGACGGAGCTTTCTGGCCTACCAGAACACCCTCCATTGAACATGGTCTATGTTTGGACATCCTTAAAATAACTCCAACAAGCATGTGGGCATGGGTATCGTAGGCATCGCTATAAGGTTTGAACAATTTTCGACACCATAAGCAAGTTGTGACATGTCGGGCCATTTATCGGCCTTTTTTGACCGAGAGAACTCAAGAAAATGCAAAAAAATGAAAACCAAAATATCTTGGCATGATGCCTTAAACTTGTCGTACAAGACCTTGGAAAAAAATTAGGCCATTTCAAGGATGTCAAAAAGTAATGTGCTCTCGACATAGCCTTCTAGCCTACCCAAACTCCCTCCGTTGAACATGATCTATTTTTGAACGTCCTTCAAGTGACCCCAATTTTGGCAAGCAGGTGAACATGCCCATGGTAGACATCCATGTTAGGTCTGAACGATTTCTGATACCATATGCAAGTTGTGACATGTCTGGCCATTTATCTATGTTTTTTGATCGAGAAAATTCTAGAAAATACAAAATTTGTCAAAAATATAACAACTTGGCATAGTGACTTGAATTGGTCATACAAGTCAATGGAAAACAATTGGGGTCATTTCAAGGATATCAATAAACAGCGTGCTCTCACACAGAAGCTTCCTTGAACATAGTGATTTTTTGGACATTCATGAAATGACCTCAACTTTTGCCAGTGGGTGGTCATGCCCATGGTATGCATTATTGCCTTGTTTCAAGGAAAAGAGTATTTAAAATCATAATTTAAACAGGTACTTAAAACTATTATTTATGTTTTTCCTTGTTTCCACGCGCAACAATGCATCGGCCCAGTCGGGTGGCCTCCTGTGAAAAGCGTATTTAATTCTAGCCTTTTTTCAATTCGTGAACATTTTCCAAATGGATGATTTTTTATCAAATTTGTAAACTTTTTTGCCAAATTCATGAATTTTTTCAGATCAATGAACGAATTTTAAATTTTGCAAACTTTTTTCCTCCTTGGAGCTAGGGGTGGGCAAAAATACAACAAACCTAAGACCGAACCGATGCCAAAACCAAAAAAACCAAATTTTTGGTGTTGGAAATTTTTTGCCATATGTAGCGATCAACACATGCCTGCGGTCGATTCCACGGGCCAAACTGATCACTTGCATGCAAGGCATATACTACTTGTTTTCTGCTTTTTGTTGCAGCCTACATGTATGTATATGCAAGCAACACACCTTGCCATTCGTGGTTTTAGTCCCACCTCGTTTGGTTACACGGAGGAGGCAGTAAGCTTGGCTATATAATAGTGCAGTCTGGTTGCACGGTTGTTGGTTTTTAAAATTAAAAAAAATGTTCATAGATTAAAGAAAAATTCACAAGATTACATGAATGTGACAAAAAAATCTTGAAATTGAGAAGGTTCATTGATTTGAAGAAATATTCATGATTTTGATATAAAAAAAGGTCACAAATTTGACAAAAAAATTGACGAATTTGATAAGAGTTCGCGAAATCGAAAAAATTCATCAATTTTAAAGAAGCTCATGAATCTGCTAGAAAAAATTCACTAATTTGGTAAAAGTTTGCAAAATTGAAAAACATTAACTACTACTACTCAACAACAACAAAGTCTTTAGTCTCAAACAAGTTGGGGTAGGCTAGAGGTGAAACCCATAAAATCTCACAACTAAGTCATGGTTATTGCGCATGGATATCAAGCTTTCATGCACCTGTGTCCATGGCTAGTTCTTTGGTGATTTCCAGTCCTCCAGATCTCTCTTTACGGACTCCTCCCATATTAACTTCGGTCTACCCCAACCTCTCTTGAATTATCAGCATGCTTTAGCCGTCCGCTATGCATTGGAGCTTCCGAAGATCTGCGCTGAATATGCCCAAACCATCTCAGACGATGTTGGACAAGCTTCTCTTCAATCGGTGCTACCCCAATTCTATCTTATATATCATCATTTGGACTCAGTCCTTCCTTGTGTAGCCACACATCCATCTGAACATGTGCATCTCCGCCACACCTAACTGTTAAACATGTCGTCTTTTAGTCAGCAAACACTCAGCGCCATACAACATTGCAGGTCAAATCGCTGTCCTATAAAACTTGCCTTTTATTTTTTGTCGCACTCTCTTGTCAGAGAGAACGCCAAAAGCTTGCCTCTGTTTCATCCATCTGGCTCTGATTTGATGGTTCACATCTTCTTAAAAAGTGGGGCGTGGAGTCGAACATCCGACCTCAAGCTACAAAGCACCATTGATAGCCACTCGAGTTGGACATTGCGGGTCGAAGAACGTTCATTCATTTGAATAAAAGTTCACACATTTAAAAGATAAGTTCACGAATTTAAGAAAATGAAAAAAGAAACATAAAAAGAATAAAACCGCAAGAAGAAAAGGCCAAACAAAACAAAACAAAAAAGAAGAAGAAAACCAAACTTAGAAGAACAAGAATAAAAAAATAACTAGGCACGACAAGTCAGTTGTCCCACTTGGTTACAGCGGGTGGATGTAAACCAAGAGGGCGACCCATCATACGTATGAAATTAGGTACAATTTAGCAAAGGTCAATTTTACCATTTATACATTTAGTAGGGAGTGTATCGAAGCGGGGCTCAACGAACAATTATATGAGAAAAGCTTAGCTACAAAAGCTAAGCGACAATGCATTGAGAGATTAGTTGCTACATTTTTTTATGCACTTAACACCTCATCTTTAAGCATCAATGCATTGGAAGAGGCCTTAAAGGAAAAACAGAGATTATTCCTATTCAACAGGTGTTAATTAATTCTTAACAATAAGCAGCAACGGATATATGGCACGTACGGTCGTACGGATAGAGCAATGCTACACTCACGGGGTGTTTACGGGGTTTTACGGGGTTGATTAAGTATTAATGGCTAGGATTTAATTAAGG